GGAGCCACAGTCCGATGAAGCAGCGGACCGGGAACGAAGACGCTCCGATGTTCTTAGGCTCCCAGCAGTCAGTCTACTACAGACTACTACTGGGAGCCCCACCGAGATAGGTGTTCTCGACACCACCTCCCCCCCAGTGGACGCCAGATCCACTCCACCACTACTCCTCTTCGCCTCCTCCATCTCCTTGCATCCCACCGTTTCCTGTGCCATTTTGCTCGCCTTTGTCGTTGTTGTTTTTGGTTTCGATCCTTTATTAGTTTTTTCTTCATTAGCCATAATTAAACCCACGAGTGGGGGAGAACTAAAGGTCCACCCGGGCAGAGATCCCCCAATACCCGGGCAAGCGTAAATTTATGACCAACCGAGGGGTCCGCAAGTGCCCCGGCTGGGAGTGCGCTTACGACTGAACTACCTATCAGCCATGCATCCCCTGGCCACGCACCAGAACACGGGATTCGGGGAATTTTTTAGAGAGGTTTACATCCTCGCGGTCCGGGCGGTTAAGCCAAGACCCTCGCCCCCGATCAGAGCCGCGAGACTTGACCACAGCGCTCTTCTCGGGATTACGATATGCCGACGGTGACAGGGAGACTACGTCCCCCTGCCTGCTCGGTGGTAGTGTCAGTACACGCCGAGCCCGTCCTCCTTTCTCCACCGCTATCAGCGGAGAAACTGGCCCCCACAGGGCCCCACCTTCTGGTTTTTTACCGAGGTTTCCTCCTCCATGCTCCGAAGAGCGAAGAGCCAGCAGGGCAACCGGCAGACACGCCCACCCTGCTGGACCAGGCCTTGCCCGAGAGCCGATGAACGGCTTCCTCTTCTGCTAGAATATTAGCCGCTGGCGATAATCCTCTCCTCCAAGTGGACAAGGAGGAAACAGTGCCATCGCCAGCGTTTCCAACGTGCACCACGGGGAGGTTTTCTAGCCTAGCACCCCTTCAACTTACAGCCTTTTTTTTTTTTTTTTTTTTTTTTACGTGTGGAAATCCCCTCGGACCGTCACCCCGCCGGGGCTCTCGTTCGGCGGGGCGGTGTGTCGGACTCGAACCGACTAAAACCACACGGTGTGCCCTCTTTGCGCTTCCAGTTTAGGAGGGGTCCAGGTAGCTATCTCCTTCTGGACCCCTCCCAGCGCCGGCCCGCTCCTGGCGCGGGCTCCGTCTCAGTGGACCCTCTCTTTAGGCGGCGTCCGGCACACGCGGACGCCGCCCCCTCGCGGCTGGCCAACTAATGCGGGTGGAGGGGAGAACCCATCCCGTCCACCCGCGGCCACACTCAGGGCGGCATGAGGCGCAGGTGAGCGCGCCTCCGCCGCCCGGTTCGCCGGCGGCGGATCAGGTCCGAGTGGAGGTCGTCCTCCCGGGCCTTCTCCGCCGCCTCCTTCTGCGAGATTACCTCCTCGCAGAAGGTTGCGACCGCGGTAAAACAACCGTCGCTACCGGCCATGGAGCGAATTACGGCCGGTAGCGAGAGATCTGCTCCAATGACTGCAGTGAGGGCCCGGCGCTGCGTCGCCCATGCGGGGCAAACCGCCAGCGTGTGCTGGGCCGAATCCTCACCGCAGTCGCAGTGGTGGCAGGCGGGACTCGATTCCCTCCTAGCGACCGAGTACAGGTACTTTCCGAAGCAACCGTGCCCGGAAAGCACCTGCGTCAGCCGGAAGGAAATGGTCCCGTGCTGCCGCCCTGCCCACTCGGCGATGACCGGCTGGAGAGCCTCCACGTCGGCGAAGCCAGCGCGTGGAGTCTCCAGCCGGAACGACCATCTCACCATAGTGGCTCGGCGAGCGGCTTCGCGCCACTCGCGCACGTCTTCGGGCGGAGGGCAAAATCCGCTCTCCGCCCGGAAGTCAGCCACTCGCCGATAAACATCGGCGAGCACTTCCGCCTCCAAATCCCACGGGGGTGTTCCGGCCAAGGCGCAAGCCGCCTCGGTGGACACCGTGCGGTATCCGCGTATGGCTCTGACCGCCAATATCCTCTGGGGGCGCCAGAGGCGCGCCCTATTCGGGGCGGTCAGAGCCGCCACCCACACCGGTGCACCATAAAGCGCCATGGACCGGACAACCCCCGCGTACAGCCGCCTCGTGGGAACACTGGCCCCGCCCAAATTGGGCAAAAGTCGCCCTAGGGCGGAGGCAGTGTCCACCAGCTTCGGGCCAAGCTGTCGGAAGTGCTCGTCGAAGAGCCACCTACCGTCTAGGACCAGACCCAGGTACCTCATCTGGGCCCGGACCGGTACGAGGACCGAGCCAACCTCGATTGAGGCGCCGGCGGGTGGACCACGACGGGGCCCATGAAATAATAGGGCCTCCGTCTTATCCAGGGCCACCCGCAAACCCAACGCCTCAATGCGCCCGACCACCAGGGAAACTCCCGTGGCGGCCAGGCGCGCCGCCTCCTGGAAGTTAGCCCCCCGGGCCGTGAGCAAGGTGTCATCCGCGTAGCAGATTACACCCAGCCCGGGGGGGAGACGCCCTCGTAGGGCCCAGTCGTACCCGATGCTCCACAGGATAGGTCCTAGGACAGACCCCTGCGGAACACCGCACGACATGGCCCTGCGTCTCAAGACGCCATCTCGGTCCTCGTACATGACGGTTCGCTCCTCAAGATAGTCTGCCACCAGCCGCCTCAGGTACTCCGGCACTCCGTGGTAGCGGGGCGCTTCCCTGATGCAGCTGAATGGCAGACTATTGAAGGCGTTGGCGATGTCCAAGGACACCGCCAACACCACTCCGCCGCAGCTAACGGCCTCCTCGTTCAACTTACAGCCTTTTTTTTTTTTTTTTTACGTGTGGAAATCCCCTCGGACCGTCACCCCGCCGGGGCTCTCGTTCGGCGGGGCGGTGTGTCGGACTCGAACCGACTAAAACCACACGGTGTGCCCTCTTTGCGCTTCCAGTGTAGGAGGGGTCCAGGTAGTTATCGCCTTCTGGACCCCTCCCAGCGCCGGCCCGCTCCTGTTGCGGGCCCCGTCTCTAATCTTTCCTCTCTTTAGGCGACGTCCGGCACACGCGGACGCCGCCCCCTCGCGGCTGGCCAACTAATGCGGGTGGAGGGGAGAACCCATCCCGTCCACCCGCGGCCACACTCAGGGCGGCATGAGGCGCAGGTAAGCGCGCCTCCGCCGCCCGGTTCGCCGGCGGCGGATCAGGTCCGAGTGGGGGTCGTCCTCCCGGACCTTCTCCGCCGCCTCCTTCTGCGAGATTACCTCCTCGCAGAAGGTTGCGACCGCGGTAAAACAACTGTCGCTACCGGCCATGGAGCGAATTACGGCCGGTAGCGAGAGATCTGCTCCGATGACTGCAGTAAGGGCCCGGCGCTGCGTCGCCCATGCGGGGCAAACCGCCAGCGTGTGCTGGGCCGAATCCTCACTGCAGTCGCAGTGGTGGCAGGCGGGACTCGATTCCCTCCTAGCGACCGAGTACAGGTACTTTCCGAAGCAACCGTGCCCGGAAAGCACCTGCGTCAGCCGGAAGGAAAGGGTCCCGTGCTGCCGCCCTGCCCACTCGGCGATGACCGGCTGGAGAGCCTCCACGGCGGCGAAGCCAGCGCGTGGAGTCTCCAGCCGGAACGACCATCTCACCATGGTGGCTCGGCGAGCGGCTTCGCGCCACTCGCGCACGTCTTCGGGCGGAGGGCGAAATCCGCTCTCCGCCCGGAAGTCAGCCACTCGCCGATAAACTTCGGCGAGCACTTCCGCCTCCAAATCCCACGGGGGTGTTCCGGCCAAGGCGCAAGCCGCCTCGGTGGACACCGTGCGGTATCCGCGTATGGCTCTGACCGCCAATATCCTCTGGGGGCGCCAGAGGCGCGCCCTATTCGGGGCGGTCAGAGCCGCCACCCACACCGGTGCACCATAAAGCGCCATGGACCGGACAACCCCCGCGTACAGCCGCCTCGTGGGAACACTGGCCCCGCCCAAATTGGGCAAAAGTCGCCCTAGGGCGGAGGCAGTGTCCACCAGCTTCGGGCCAAGCTGTCGGAAGTGCTCGTCGAAGAGCCACCTACCGTCTAGGACCAGACCCAGGTACCTCATCTGGGCCCGGACCGGTACGAGGACCGAGCCAACCTCGATTGAGGCGCCGGCGGGTGGACCACGACGGGGCCCATGAAATAATAGGGCCTCCGTCTTATCCAGGGCCACCCGCAAACCCAACGCCTCAATGCGCCCGACCACCAGGGAAACTCCCGTGGCGGCCAGGCGCGCCGCCTCCTGGAAGTTAGCCCCCCGGGCCGTGAGCAAGGTGTCATCCGCGTAGCAGATTACACCCAGCCCGGGGGGGAGACGCCCTCGTAGGGCCCAGTCGTACCCGATGCTCCACAGGATAGGTCCTAGGACAGACCCCTGCGGAACACCGCACGACATGGCCCTGCGTCTCAAGACGCCATCTCGGTCCTCGTACATGACGGTTCGCTCCTCAAGATAGTCTGCCACCAGCCGCCTCAGGTACTCCGGCACTCCGTGGTAGCGGGGCGCTTCCCTGATGCAGCTGAATGGCAGACTATTGAAGGCGTTGGCGATGTCCAAGGACACCGCCAACACCACTCCGCCGCAGCTAACGGCCTCCTCGTTCAACTTACAGCCTACTCTAGCGTTGAAATCGCCCTTAATTATAAGGTTAGTATTACAATGATTTAGATAGTTTTGTATTTGGTCGTAAAAATCTTTTATTTCTAAATTAGTAGCGTCGCTGGTTGGGGCGTAAACTTGAATAATAGACAAGCTTTCATTTCCTAAATGCAGATGCAATGCACAGATTCTTTCGGAGACAGCAGTAAAACTGTCTATGTTTTCTTTCAGGTGTTTTTTAATAAGGAACCCTACGCCATACTGACCTTTTGTTTCTCCGAAGTAGCAGAATATATGGTCATCGTCTTCTTCTATATTGTATCCCGTCCGTCTGACCTCCGCGACCTGACGTCTGGAGGGTTGTAGTCTGTGACCCCCGCGGTGACCGGCCGTGCTGGGGAACGTTGAGAGGTCGCCGCTAAAATTCATTCATTGGCAGATGAGGAGCTGTCTGATTTCTGACGTAAAGGAGAACTAGGCATTGTGCTCACATCTTTGTTTTTAATTAGATATTGGTCCATTCTATTTTTCTTGATGGGGTTCTTTGCGGTAAATAGTTTTCCACTCTTGACATCGACTGTTATTGGTGACAGTGATAAAACTCTCTTACGTCGGTCTTGATCATTTTGGTATTGTATTTTTTCGTTTTCTGGTTCTATTACTAATTTGTTATGTTTAATGTATGCATTTTTCCCCTGGTCTTTTTCTCTTTTTAGCTCGGCACTCAATTGAGTGCCGAGCTAAAGAGAGAAAGAAATTTTTTTCTCTCTTCAAGGATTTCAGGCGGGTAATCTTGTTTTATGTAGTAAGAGGTGGTTACGTTTAGCATTTTTTTGTTTCTCAATATTTCAATTTTTTTGCCCACAGTAGTTAGGGTGACAATTATTGGCCTAGTTTTTTCGGACTTTTTTCCCATTCTTGTAACATATTCAATATCTCCTTTTTGGCAATCTACCTCCATGTTGGACTGAATAATATTTAGGATTTTATTTTGCAAGCTGAAGTAGCTGTTCTCGGTCTCTTCTACTCCGAAAAATATCAAATTCTTTCTCCTCATAAAACTTTCAAATCTTTGAATTTTCTTTCCCTGTTCTTCCGTTATTTTTTCCAATTGATGTTGTCTAGATTCAAGTATAACAAATTTTTCATCAATGTTTTTATTTATATTATTTGGGATACTTTCTTTCATTTCTTTTAGTTCATTTGCTTGTTCATCTACTTTTGTTTGCAGTGACTTCAACATCTCTGTGATTTGTTCCATTTTCGAGTAATTTGTGTTTAGCGCCCTCTGCAATAGAGAGCGCTTATTGTCGCCCATCTCTGGCTCCGCCACTAACGACATATGCGGCCGCTGCTAAGGCGGGCCCCACAGCCCAGCCAGCAGCTAGGGTGGCCGGGCCAGCGTCGTCAGCACCTCTGAAGGCCACCCAGGGTGTATGGGTCAGGAGATCAAAAAAGGAGCGACACGGTTTTAAGTTCACTGCTGCGTTGCGTACATAAGCCCTACCCCAGTGCTGACTTTGCAGCACTCAACTTTCTATAGGAATTCTAGCTATTCGAGCAACAGATCTCTTAAGACTACCCAATTGCGTTCGAACTTGAACCACTCGCACTCTACCGTCTTTACCAGTAACAACCTCCTCTATAATACCTCGCGGCCAAATGTTACGGGGAGCATTAGGGTCAGCGTGAACACTAAGTCACCAACCTGAAGAGGTCTCTCATTATCTTGGGTCCACTTTTGGCGTGGTATCATTTCTGGTAGCACTTCGGTAACCCACCTCCTCCAAAACATATCAGCTAACCTCTGTGCTATACGCCATTGTCGACGCAAGAACAGGTCAGAATCATCGAAGTTGCCCAACTGCGGTATGACAGAAGATGAGCCCAGCAGGAAGTGGTTAGGTGTCAACGACTCTTCGCTGTTGACGTCGACCGACACGTGACTCAACGGACGTCCGTTCACGATAGCTTCCACTTCAGCCAGCAGCGTGGTAAGTACCTCTTCTCTAGGTGCTCTTTCCTTAAGGACTACTTTAAGCGTGACTTTGACGCTGCGAATCAAGCGTTCCCAAGCCCCACCCCAGTGAGGACTAGCTGGTGGTATAAAGGTCCAGCGGGTGCCATGGATACTCACAGCAGTCTGCATGGATTGCTCATCAAGCTCCGAGGTGAACTTCTTCAGCTCTGCGTCTGCTCCTCTTAAGTTCGTCCCATTGTCGGAGTACAAGTATGCAGGCCATCCACGTCTTGATGCCATCCTGCGAAGAGCCATAATCAGAGAATCTGTACTGAGGGTCGAAACAGTCTCCAAATGAATTGCTCGAACAGTGAGACACGTAAAAAGAACTCCATAGCGTTTCTCCCTTCGTCTTCCGACCGTAACCTCCATGGGACCAAACAAATCAACACCACAATGTGTAAAGGGTCTCTGGTGATGAGCGACTCTGGCGGTAGGTAAATCACCCATTAACGGCACGTGAGGTTTCACCTTTCTTAATTTACATAGCATACATTTAGTAGTTATTTCCTTAACAGTAGGTCTTAATCGTATAATCCAATAATTTTGTTTCAGGTTGTTCACTACCATCTCTTGATTACCGTGGCCTCCCAGCACATGGTAATGTTTTACGATTAATTTTGCAACTTTATTTCTTCCATCTAAAATTACAGGATGCTTCATGTCGAAGGTAATATCAGCGGCGGCGCCTATACGTCCGCCCACGCGGAGTACACCCTGTTCATCAAGAAAAGGCGTAAGCGAATGTAACTTACTACTTTTTTCTAAATATCCTCCATATTTAATTGCAGATATGGCCGAACAAAATGACTCATTTTGTGCATATCGTATGACTAGTCTCTCGGCGTCTTTCATGGCAGCACATTCATCAATGACCCTTCTTCGACATTTATTTCTAAATTTCAGCACTACCGATATACTTCTCAGAAGACGTATCCAAGAAGAGAATCGCTTCGGATCTGGCACAGGTAAGTAATCTGTAGGTACAATATTGTTTATATATTCTAAGTTATAGTCTTCGACAACAGGTATAATCGTACTTGAAGGGCACGAAGGTTCTGTCTCTTGTAGAAATAATGGTCCATTAAACCACTCGCCTTGCAGCTGAAGATAGTCATAATTTTCACGAGTCGCCATGTCTGCTACGTTCATAGATGTAGGTATGTATCTCCATTCTTTGATTTGTGTAAGTTCATCGATTTCCCCCAAGCGATGCGCGATATAAGGTTTATAACACCGTGTGTTGTTACGTATCCAATGTAACACAGTTGTGGAATCGCACCAAAAGTATCGGTCAGCTGTTTTAATTCGATGTGCGGACTGTAATGTATTCGCTAACCTGGCAGCCATTACTGCAGCCTGCAATTCCAATCTGGGTACCGTCACCAGTTTAAGGGGAGTAACACGACATTTACTCGCTACAAAACAAACTCTTATCTGTTTGTTATGATCTAACCAACGCCAATATGCAACCGCACACATAGCTTGTATCGATTCGTCGCAAAAAATATGAAGTTGTAAACAATTATAACCGGTTTCGCTGTAGGGGTGCTCTGTGCGTAGCTGCGTAGACGCAGGTATATATGTGTTGACGAATGAATCGCTTATCAACTGTGACTGTGATTCATCCTTCACGTCGACTCCCGTTGCATTATTACAAAATATCTATGCATTAGATCGCCGGTAGCAGCGCTGTATACGTATACTACTTATTGTTTTAATAACTTCAACCACTTATTCCATTTTAAATAAATATCGACGTTTACGTTCTCATCCCATCCAATATTTAACTTCCATGTCTCCTGAAGCAGTATTTTACCATTAATAGTAAACGGCGAAAGGAATCCATACACGTCAAATAATGACATAATCACTTTCAGTAATTCGCGTTTTGTAGGACATTTTGTACCATTCATTATATCTTCAGGGATCCGTTTAAACGAGGTGACGAACCCCAAAGTGTCGTCATCAGGATACCATATGATTCCCAAAGCACGCTCACCTTCATGTTGTGCTCCGATTTTCACGGTAGCTGCCGAACTGGCGAGCGACTCCTCTGGTAAACTATTTCATACTTTCGAGCTGTTACTCAACCAATTGCGTATCTCGAACCCTCCCTGTTTGTGTATATTTATAATATCACGAGCGAGTTGGATGCAAGTTGTCTCGTTTGGTTGACTATCTATATAATCGTCCATGTAATGTTGGTCGCGAATAGCTTGAACCGCTGCGGGTTTCGATGACTCATAACACTCAGCGTTTTTATTTTTAATGAATTGTGCAATAAAGGGCGCACAATTCGCACCAAATATTAAGGATGTCATTTTGTATGTCTTTATAGGTTCCTTAGGGTTGTCGCGCCACAGAAATCTTAGGGCGTCTTGATCATTTCGTAATATTTTAACCCGTAAAAACATATCTTTGATATCGCCCACAACAGCGATGTCATGCTCGCGGAAACGTAACATAATACCCAATAGTGACATTAATAAGTCTGGACCCGTTAATAAGTAATCGTTGAGTGATAAACCCTGCGTTTTAGCGGCTGCATCGAAAACCAAACGTAATTTGTTTTTGTTAGGGTTGTCTACACCAAAGTGAGGTAAGTACCAGGTTTTGTTTGTTTTTGTGGTATCTAAAATTTCCTCAGCGAAATTATTGTTTAACAAATGCTTTATACGTTCTCGATACCTTAATGCGTATTGCTCGTTACAGGACATTTTCTTCTCTAAATTATGCAGCCTAGACAAAGCCGTAAGTTCTGAATCAGGCATCCGACAGCTACCATCCTTCCACGGTAAACCTACGTACCATCGACTATCGATTAACTTTGCCGTCATTAGAGTTCTGACGCGGAGTTTCGGATATACCCATATGTTCGATAGAAAATGACTTTCTTACCATTTCGTGCAGGTCTTCTAACGGAGGCTCTGCCAACCCTGATAGAACCTCGGTAACATGCAGCGTGGAGTTACACGCGTGCTTTGAGACCGATGCAGGTGCTCTACCATGAACACACCATCCCAGCGGAGTACGAGTGGCACAAGGTTCGTTACATTTGCCGGCTTTAATTTCTAAAGGTAACATTAAATTATAATTATCCTGACCAATCAATATTTCAGGTGCAGAAGTACTATAGTTAAATTCGTTTTGAATACTAGACAGATGAGAATACATATTAAAATTAACTAAATTATAATTTTGTATAGGTACACTAAAGTTCTGAAGGCTACGTACAGAAAGTTCAAATTTCTCACCATTACAGTTCGCTATACAAACGTTTATACAGTCCGTGTCGCACACAAGCGCACTGTTGTCCCACGCACCACGCACATGCATCGTCTCTCGGCGGCGCCCGCGCAAACCGGCTCGTGACGCAAGCGATGAACTGATAAGGGACACGGTAGAACCATCGTCTAATAAGGCGTTCGTTTTTATAATACTGTTCGGTCCATGTAAACTCACGGGCACTACTTTTAACAACACTTTGCACTCACTGCTTTTGACGTGATTCACACTTTCAGGGGGGGCCGCTAACGACGATGATTCGACTGTAGTAAATTCTTTGACACACTGATTATCGTCGTTCGTTGTTTGGCGCGTGCTATAATGCAGTAACCTTATGATGGGCTTGTCCACAGTTCTCGACGTCACACGCTGCCGCCGGACAGGTTTCGCGGTTATGAGTCGCATCTATGCATTTATAGCATAACCGGTGTCGCTTGACAAAACTAAATCGATCTTTGCGTAACGCTTTACGGAATTTTTTACAATCGTGTAATTTATGTTTTGAAATACGGCAATACAGACACTTGATATTGTTCTCGCCGCTTTTATTTAATACCACCGTATGTGTAGTAGCTTCTGTGTACTTTTTCTTATTGTAGTAACCGTCCGTTATATTTTTAGTGATTAATAACGCCATAGACGACACTTTCTTAGCTTCTTCATTTAAAAACTTAGAAAAGTCAAACCATGTTGGTCTTCTGCCTTGTTTTATGAATATATAACTGTAATCTGCCCACTTTGAAAGCAAAACGGGTGTTAATTTTGACAAAATACAAGTAGTCATACTTATTCCGTTTAGGTATTCTTCAAGTTTCGCACCCTTATGGAAAAGGCCACAATGTCTTTGTGATATTCTTGGGATACTGGGTGTAATTTCTTGAGGTCTGTTAAAATGCGTGATATTATGACTTCAGGATTACCAAATTGCAGCTCAAGTGTTGACATTATTGTCTCAGGCGAGGTTGCACTTATCAGCAGGACCGAGATGGCTTCGCGAGCAGATCCTTTCAGACACTTTCTTAAGCGCCACAAGTTTTAATTCTCTTGTTCAGACACTTTACTTGAAGCGCCACCGAGTTAATTCTTTGATTAGCTGTGTACTTAACGTGTTGTTACGTATCCAATGTAACACAGTTGTGGAATCGCACCAAAAGTATCGGTCAGCTGTTTTAATTCGATGTGCGGACTGTAATGTATTCGCTAACCTGGCAGCCATTACTGCAGCCTGCAATTCCAATCTGGGTACCGTCACCAGTTTAAGGGGAGTAACACGACATTTACTCGCTACAAAACAAACTCTTATCTGTTTGTTATGATCTAACCAACGCCAATATGCAACCGCACACATAGCTTGTATCGATTCGTCGCAAAAAATATGAAGTTGTAAACAATTATAACCGGTTTCGCTGTAGGGGTGCTCTGTGCGTAGCTGCGTAGACGCAGGTATATATGTGTTGACGAATGAATCGCTTATCAACTGTGACTGTGATTCATCCTTCACGTCGACTCCCGTTGCATTATTACAAAATATCTATGCATTAGATCGCCGGTAGCAGCGCTGTATACGTATACTACTTATTGTTTTTAATAACTTCAACCACTTATTCCATTTTAAATAAATATCGACGTTTACGTTCTCATCCCATCCAATATTTAACTTCCATGTCTCCTGAAGCAGTATTTTACCATTAATAGTAAACGGCGAAAGGAATCCATACACGTCAAATAATGACATAATCACTTTCAGTAATTCGCGTTTTGTAGGACATTTTGTACCATTCATTATATCTTCAGGGATCCGTTTAAACGAGGTGACGAACCCCAAAGTGTCGTCATCAGGATACCATATGATTCCCAAAGCACGCTCACCTTCATGTTGTGCTCCGATTTTCACGGTAGCTGCCGAACTGGCGAGCGACTCCTCTGGTAAACTATTTCATACTTTCGAGCTGTTACTCAACCAATTGCGTATCTCGAACCCTCCCTGTTTGTGTATATTTATAATATCACGAGCGAGTTGGATGCAAGTTGTCTCGTTTGGTTGACTATCTATATAATCGTCCATGTAATGTTGGTCGCGAATAGCTTGAACCGCTGCGGGTTTCGATGACTCATAACACTCAGCGTTTTTATTTTTAATGAATTGTGCAATAAAGGGCGCACAATTCGCACCAAATATTAAGGATGTCATTTTGTATGTCTTTATAGGTTCCTTAGGGTTGTCGCGCCACAGAAATCTTAGGGCGTCTTGATCATTTCGTAATATTTTAACCCCGTAAAAACATATCTTTGATATCGCCCACAACAGCGATGTCATGCTCGCGGAAACGTAACATAATACCCAATAGTGACATTAATAAGTCTGGACCCGTTAATAAGTAATCGTTGAGTGATAAACCCTGCGTTTTAGCGGCTGCATCGAAAACCAAACGTAATTTGTTTTTGTTAGGGTTGTCTACACCAAAGTGAGGTAAGTACCAGGTTTTGTTTGTTTTTGTGGTATCTAAAATTTCCTCAGCGAAATTATTGTTTAACAAATGCTTTATACGTTCTCGATACCTTAATGCGTATTGCTCGTTACAGGACATTTTCTTCTCTAAATTATGCAGCCTAGACAAAGCCGTAAGTTCTGAATCAGGCATCCGACAGCTACCATCCTTCCACGGTAAACCTACGTACCATCGACTATCGATTAACTTTGCCGTCATTAGAGTTCTGACGCGGAGTTTCGGATATACCCATATGTTCGATAGAAAATGACTTTCTTACCATTTCGTGCAGGTCTTCTAACGGAGGCTCTGCCAACCCTGATAGAACCTCGGTAACATGCAGCGTGGAGTTACACGCGTGCTTTGAGACCGATGCAGGTGCTCTACCATGAACACACCATCCCAGCGGAGTACGAGTGGCACAAGGTTCGTTACATTTGCCGGCTTTAATTTCTAAAGGTAACATTAAATTATAATTATCCTGACCAATCAATATTTCAGGTGCAGAAGTACTATAGTTAAATTCGTTTTGAATACTAGACAGATGAGAATACATATTAAAATTAACTAAATTATAATTTTGTATAGGTACACTAAAGTTCTGAAGGCTACGTACAGAAAGTTCAAATTTCTCACCATTACAGTTCGCTATACAAACGTTTATACAGTCCGTGTCGCACACAAGCGCACTGTTGTCCCACGCACCACGCACATGCATCGTCTCTCGGCGGCGCCCGCGCAAACCGGCTCGTGACGCAAGCGATGAACTGATAAGGGACACGGTAGAACCATCGTCTAATAAGGCGTTCGTTTTTATAATACTGTTCGGTCCATGTAAACTCACGGGCACTACTTTTAACAACACTTTGCACTCACTGCTTTTGACGTGATTCACACTTTCAGGGGGGGCCGCTAACGACGATGATTCGACTGTAGTAAATTCTTTGACACACTGATTATCGTCGTTCGTTGTTTGGCGCGTGCTATAATGCAGTAACTTATGATGGGCTTGTCCACAGTTCTCGACGTCACACGCTGCCGCCGGACAGGTTTCGCGGTTATGAGTCGCATCTATGCATTTATAGCATAACCGGTGTCGCTTGACAAAACTAAATCGATCTTTGCGTAACGCTTTACGGAATTTTTTACAATCGTGTAATTTATGTTTTGAAATACGGCAATACAGACACTTGATATTGTTCTCGCCGCTTTTATTTAATACCACCGTATGTGTAGTAGCTTCTGTGTACTTTTTCTTATTGTAGTAACCGTCCGTTATATTTTTAGTGATTAATAACGCCATAGACGACACTTTCTTAGCTTCTTCATTTAAAAACTTAGAAAAGTCAAACCATGTTGGTCTTCTGCCTTGTTTTATGAATATATAACTGTAATCTGCCCACTTTGAAAGCAAAACGGGTGTTAATTTTGACAAAATACAAGTAGTCATACTTATTCCGTTTAGGTATTCTTCAAGTTTCGCACCCTTATGGAAAAGGCCACAATGTCTTTGTGATATTCTTGGGATACTGGGTGTAATTTCTTGAGGTCTGTTAAAATGCGTGATATTATGACTTCAGGATTACCAAATTGCAGCTCAAGTGTTGACATTATTGTCTCAGGCGAGGTTGCACTTATCAGCAGGACCGAGATGGCTTCGCGAGCAGATCCTTTCAGACACTTTCTTAAGCGCCACAAGTTTTAATTCTCTTTGAAATTACAGACCTTGGTAGACTCTTCATACGCCTGTTTGAAATGAAGCCACTCCATGGGGTCTCCACAAAACAACGGTAAGTCTTTTGGTGTACAATTTCTACTTAACAGGTTGGAGTTAAGATTGTTGCTGGTAGAAGCGGCTGTAAGATCCTTAAGTGCGCTGGCCAGGAGTTGAACTGTTCCCTTAGTGCCGGTATCCCATTTGACCGGCGCGCACGGCACGTCCGTTGTCTGACCCTGATCGTGGACGGGCTGTGCTTCTAGTTCGCGATGGCTGCGCTCCAACCACTCCTCTACCTCCTTGTTAGTGTAATCAGACCTTACACTACGCTCGTCGTCAATTTCTGCTAGGTTCGCCGCTAAACGTTTGTCTATCAGTTCCATTTGAATCTTTGCCTTTGCCTCTGCCGCCTCCAGTTCTAGCTTCTTTTGTCGTGCAAGCACTGAAGAAGATGTAGACCGCTTGGACTTTGGCCTTGAGACCTGATGAGACTTTACAGGCATCGTTTGAAAGTCGACTAACGGTTGCTCCGATTTTACTACACTACCTTCAATTTTTGTATTTCGTACCGATTTTTCTTCATTGTGTTTAATATGCTCTTCAATTACTTCTTTCTTCTTACTAGGTGGTAATAGTGGTAGCTCTTGAGCCGAAGACTGACCTTCTATTGGTTCCACATCCTTCCTGGGTGATCTCCTGGAGCCTACCCTACTTCTCGGTGTATGGTACGTTTTGCAGTAGATCTGGCTCGAAGTGACCAACTGTATGGGTCAGGAGATCAAAAAATAGTATATTAATGCAAAATACAAAAGTTTACAAGTGTTCGGGATCACAGTCATAGAAAACGTGTCGATCGCGGCGACGGTATCGGGACGACTGACTTACAATCTACCTTATAATGTATTATAAATGTTTGAATGCTGCGTCGCGTACACAGGGGAAAGGAAAGGGGGACTGCTGTCGCCTTTCAAGGGAAAGGCAACCCCTGTCCCAGTTCCAGCCCCGACTAACATTGCACAGTGCCCATTGGAGGGCAGCTGGGCGGTAGCCGGTGAAAAAGAGAAGAGGCGGAAGGCCGCCTAAAAGACCAGAAAGACCGCCGCCACCGCGACGGGAGCGCCGAGGAGGCTCCGCGTCGTTCGATCTGTGGCCGTTATCATCACTTTGAGGGCCGAGGCAGCGGAGAGGGGCGTGGGATACGCCGAGGTCTTGGCGAAAGTCAAGGCCAACGCTGGCCTAAAGGCCCTCGAGATACCGGGAGCCCGGCTCCTGGTGGTCCCCGGCGCTACCAGTGGCCCCAAAAGCTAAGGGAGTCACTGGATGCAGCAATAGTCCGAGTTTCCAGGCCCACGAAATGCGCCGAAGTACGCTTCACGGGCCTTGACGACTCCGTCACGGCGGACGAACTTAGGCTCGCCGTGGCGGAGGCTGGAAGGTGCTTCCTGGACAATGTGAAGGCCGGAGCAAGACGCTTGGGCCCCAGTGGACAGGGGGCTAACGGTGGTCAGCTGCCCCATCGCGGTGGCTCAAAAGGTCGCCGATGGACGAAGCCTCCTAGTGGGCGGCTTCCTGAGGGCGGAGGTACGACTCCTGCAGGCCCGACCGACAAGGTGCTTCCGGTGCCTGTCAGTAGGGCACGAGGGGGTTAAGTGTACGGCGGAAGTCACCGCAGGTGATCTTTGCTGCCGAGGAGGCCGTGAGCTGCGGCGGATTGGTGTTGGCGGTGTCCCCAGCCTGTACCTACCGCGACCTCAGGGGTACCTGAAGCCCAACTGCAGTCAATTCTTGACGCAGTTGGGCGTATGCTGGACGGCCGTCTGGCAGGTCTGGAGGCGAGACTGCCCCCTGCGCCGGTCGTGCGCTCCCTGTTGTGGGAGGCCGCGTCTAATACGCGGCGGCGGCGTCGGCGTCGGCCCCGACTCCATCACCGGCTCCCCAGGGGCCGAGGAGAGGGGCCAAGGCACCGGCCCAGGCGCCAGTCAAGGCGCCGGCCCAGGCACCGGCCAAGACTAAAGCGGCGAAGAGGAGCGGAGTGGCTTTCCCTCCGCTCCCCACTCCGACATCTCTGCCGGGCCCCTCCGCACCTGCCCCTTCCAACGAGGGTTGGCAGGAGGCGAGGGGCTCAAAGAAGTCCCGAAGGCGGACCAGAAGGGCTGCTCAAAAGCAGCCCAAGCCCAGCCTTCGCCACCGGTGGCAACAGCCTCTAAAAAGAGGCCACGGAAGCTGCAGCCGCCCAAAACCGCGGCTGTAGTCGTCACGTTGTCGCCGGAGGCGGGCTGACGTATGCGGCCCTCTTCAAGGGGGCCCGGCCCGGTCTCGCTGCTGAGCTCGGGTTTTCGAGTTCCCTGGGGCTGAAGGCGCGACGACGGCCGATAAATTCGCCGAGAAGTTGTGGGGAATTTTTGCCACCGAGGACGGTGTTAAGATCACAAATCAAACAAAACTAAACGTTCCAAGAGAGTCTATATCAAGAATAGTCACAGATCAGAATACAATAATTACCAATCCACAAGATATTGCAAACACGTTTAATGACTATTTTATAGATAAAGTTAAACCAGTTCATACCAATGTCACAAATATAACAGAATCTATAGATAATAACATCAAATCAATGTTTATGCCGCCTTGCCTTCCAAAGGACGTCGACACAATAATAAAGAATCTTAAATACACAAATAGTGTTGGGTATGATGGTATCCACACTAAAATAATAAAATCAGTTAGCCCAATCATTTCGAAGCCTATTAGCCATATCATTAATGTAAGTATAGGTTCTGGAATATATCCGGATAAACTAAAAACGTCGGTGGTTAAACCTCTGTTCAAAAAAGGAAACAAAGAACATATGGAGTGCTATAGACCAATCACACTTATTCCTATATTCTCAAAAGTGTTCGAGAAATATATTTCTAAGCAACTCTATTCCTTTCTTGAAAAATACAATCTCTTCGCAGTAGAACAAAAGGGGTTTAGACATAAAAAGAGCATAAACAAGGCTATCTACGAATTCTTAAATATAATTATATCTAAAGTAGATAAGAGAATACCAGTAAGCGCCATATTTTGTGACATGACGCAAGCCTTTGATTACGTAGATCATAAAACCCTACTGGAAAAGCTTGATAGATGTGGAGTACGTGGTAATGTCAATAACCTAATAAAATCTTACCTGACGAACAGAAAACAATATACAGAGCTCAGAAAAATTAACTTTTTAAACAAAAGAGAAGAAGTATACACGTCTCACTTACGAACAATTTATTACGGAGTGGGGCAAGGTAGTGTACTCGGGCCTTTACTGTTCATTCTATACATTAATGATCTACCCAAAGTAACTAACCATCCTGTTACTTTATTTGCGGATGACAGTACGGTAGTTATAGAATGTAACAATCGCGCTTACTATGAAACGGACATTAATAATACGCTCTATAACATTATAAAATGGATGGATAAAAATAATTTAAAAATTAATTTAGGCAAAACAAATTTAATACAATTTTCACAAAGACATAATATAATTAAAGATATGAATATAACATATAATAATATTAAAATAAATGAAATTGACGCTACTAAATTCCTAGGACTGAATATTGATAATAGGCTTAATTGGAAAATACATACTGAAGAGTTATGCAAAAAAATCAGCAGTACAGCCTATGCACTTTTTAAGCTTGCACCTCTGCTCAATGAGGAAGGTATACTTAAAGCATATCATGGAATAACCGCCTCCTATCTTAGATATGGCATACTATTCTGGGGAAACTCGACAAATAAAGAAATTGTTTTCAAATCTCAAAAGCAGTGCATTAGAGCAATGTTCAAATTAAAATCTACAGATAGTTGTGTACCATATTTTAAAAAGTATAAAATTATGACATTGCCATCTTTATACATTTATGAAACAGCAGTTTTCGTAAAGTCGAACCTGGAACTGTTCGAAACATTAGCTGATACGGTTACTCGCAATAGAAGAACCCACACCAGTAATAGGATGCGAATAAGAAAAGCAAATACAAAATTAATGCGTAAAAGTGTATTCTGTATGGCACCTGTCATCTATAATAAGATACCCGATCACATCAGAAATCTAGACATAATCCCATTTAAAAAACATCTACAAGAATGCCTATCTGAAAAATGTTATTATGATATAAGAGAATTTTTAGATGGTAAATGGGGATAATTAAATAATTAATTAAAAGAAATGAATTTACAAATACATAAAATTTTTATTTATTATTTATCTTTATTTTTTATTTGACATTGTAATTACTTTATTGACATCATAGTTCTAAAATTTTATACATAATTTATAAAAAAGAGACATTGATTTTGCATGTTTTAAGCTCTAAGGTATGAAAAATCAAACTGAAGTATTATATTGCTTTGATTGCGACAATTCAATGTAATTCTGTTTGCATGTCTTAAATTTAGCGTTTCACAATTATTATTTTTTTTCTCTTTAATTATTGTAAGCCTAAATGGCAGAACATAGTAGATCATTCTACCACTGTAAACAACCTTTGTATACCTATGTTTCACAATAAAAACTGATTGATTGATTGATTGATTGATTGATTGATCGCCAGGCCCACAAAATGCGCGGAACTGCGCATCTCGGGCCTGGACGACTCTTTAACGTCGGAGGATGTCCGCGATGCAGTCATGGAGAAGACTGGGTGCACCGCGGACACCATCAGAGTCGGCACCGTCCGTCCGGGCCCGGGAGGCCTCGGTGCGGTGTGGGTGAGCTGTCCCGTGGCGTCGGCTAAAGTATTGGGCGACGCCGGAAGCATTCTCGTCGGCTTCGTAAATGCCAGAATCACGGTTCCGGCCGCGAGGCCGATGAGGTGCTTCAAGTGCCTAGCCGTGGGACACACTCGCACCAAATGCGAGAGTTGTTTTGACTGCAGCAGTCTGTGCTTCCGCTGCGGTCAACCCGGGCACAAGGCGGCAGAGTGCTCTGCCGCCCCTCACTGCCCCGTGTGTGCGGCGGCTAAAAAGCCCGCCAATCACATGATGGGGCAGGGGGGCTGCAAGCCTCCCCGCGCTTCTAGGCAAACGCCGGGGGCTAGCCTGCCGACCCACGCTACCCCCGACGTCAATATTGCGTCGACGCCGACGCCCATGGAGGAGGTTGTAGAGACGATCCAGTAATGGATCAAGTCTCGAACCTCCTGGTCCAGACGAATCTCAACCACTGTGCTGCGGCGCAGGATCTCTTCCTGCAAACCATGGCACAGTGGTCGATAGGTGTTGCCGTAGTCGCGGAGTCCTATTTTGTTCCTCTCCGTCCAAACTGGATGGGTGACCGAGACGGTTCCGTGGCAGTCGTCGGCTCCACGGCGGCTCATTCCCCGCCCTTGTCGCTAAGAGACAAGGATACTGGATATGTTGCCGCCGATTGGGGGGGAATCACCATTTATGGTGTATATTTCTCCCCCAACCGGAGTTTGAACGACTTCGAGGTCTTTCTTAACAACTTCGAGGCCTC